ACTAGGCCTATCGGTGCTCCAACACCCAATAAAATTTGAAATAACCGAGGTCAAGCAAATGGCTTATGCTGACGACCTGATAACATCATATGGTCCACAAATAGGGTACCGCCCAAATACAAACAAGTACTTCCTCATTGTGAAGCCAGAACACTATGAACGGGCAGTGGAGGTGTTCCGTGGATGTGAGGTCAAAATAACAAAGTACGGCCAAAGACACCTAGGTGCAGTAATTGGCACGAAGGACTTGAAGGCCGAGTACGTAACGGGAAAGGTAAACAAGTGGGTCAGGGAAAGCCAAGCTCTGTCGGATATTGCTAAAATAGAGCCACATGCGGTTTTTGCGACATTTACCCAAGGAGTCAAGCATCGCTGGAGCTACCTGATGTGCACTATCCCTGATATCGGACTCCTCCTCCACCCTCTGGAAGAAGCTATCAGCGTCAATTTCATTCCCAAATTAGTGAAACATCTTCACTTAACCCCAGCAGAAAGATCACTCCTTGCACTACCACCGAGACTGGGAGGAATGGGATTGACCAATCCAGAGAAGATAGCTGCCACCGAACATCAAAACTCAGTTAAGCTCACGGCAGCCCTCACTGACCACATAATAGCTCAGAACGCAACAGGTGAGGTGGATACCAGCGAAGTAAACAAGATTCGACGGTTCATTACGACAGCACTGCTAAAGTAGCTATAGTGCAGGAGGTGAGCGCCTCGAACTGGTTAACTACATTACCGAAAAGGGCAAATTGTTTCAGTCTCAATAAACAAGAATTTACAGATGCCAATGCTCTATGGTACAGTAGGCCAGTAGAAGGTTTGCCCTCCCAATGCTTGTTTGGCTCTTCCTATGACGTCGATCACGCCATGGTGTGCAAGAAAAAGGGCTTCATATGCATGAAGCATGACGAAGTAAGGGATCTCACAGCAAATATTTTGAAGGAAATCTATCGTGATGTCAGGGTAGAACCGACCCTCCTTCCTTTGGACGGTGAGAAATTCCAACATAGGACTTCAAACACATCCAATGAAGCCCGTGTTGACGTTAGTGCTCGAGGTTTCTGGACGCGAGGACAGCGAGCCTTCTTCGACATCAGGATTTTTTATCCCATGGCAGCATGTTATTGTAGCTTAGCTCTCGATGCTGCACACAGGAGGAACGAGAACGACAAGATAAGGGCATATGGGGAGAGAATTCAAAACATTGATCAAGGCAGCTTCACTCCATTAGTGTTCACAACCTCTGGTGAGATGGGACCAAGTGCAAGATGCTTCTACGCCAGACTCGCGGAGGTAATATCCGAACAGAAGCAGCAGCCCAGAAGTTATGTTACAACCTGGATGAGATGTCGACTGTCCTTCTGTCTCCTTCGGTCGGCTTTGCTCTACCTCAGGGGAACGAGAATATCGGCCTCAAAGATGACAACAGTTGCAGATATTGACTATGAGGCTACAGTCACTGAATGCCGCATAGATCTGCAGCTCAACTAACTCAACACAGCTAGGATAGCTACTTATGTATTAGGATATTTAATATTAAGGTAATAAAATGCGAAGCGAATAAAAAGCGAAGCAATGGCTATTGGGGGAGGCTGGAGGCCATAAAAAAAAGTAGTAGTAGTTGTTGTTGTTGTTGTAGAAGAAGTAGTTGTTGTTGTTGTTGTTGTTGTAGTAGAAGTAGTTGTTGTTGTTCTAGTTGCAGTAGTAGTAGTAGTAGTATTTGTTGTTGTTGTTCTTGTCGCAGTAGTATTAGTTGTTGTTTTAGTCGTTTTTATCAGAACTGAATATGTCTCTCACTGGAGCTGGTGCGGTTGCTGTTGACGCTACGGCGCACACAGATGACAACGCAGCCCTTTTAATCAACCAGCCTCGCATTAAAATGAGATCATTGCCAATGTAGGGAGAGAGACAGATAGGAAAATGCATTATGTTGCTTATGTAGGGAAAGAGAAAAGGACGAAATGCATCATTATTTTTTTTTTAGGAGGGGGGACAAATGGTGCGAGTTGGGGGTAGGGAGTGGGGGGATGAGAGGGGTTGGGTTCTCCTAACTTTTCTGCTCGGCCAATATAGACCCGTTCCATTTGAGTTTACAACGAATAATTGAAATTGCACATTGGAAAAATGATCGGGAAAGATAATCTGTAAGCTATTAGACTCCGGGAATAGCAATGGTCGAAAAGCTATTGAGAAAACAGTTTGAAATGAGGCTTATTTTGCAGCCACCAGAATTGCACATTGAAATTTCCCTCCTGTTCAGTTTCCCTTTCATTAATAATTTGTTTCCGACATTTACCATCTGCGATAATCACTTGACATTTATACTGACCCGAACATTATTTTTTTTATTCCATGATTGTCATTTTTTCTCTATTTTTTTAATGGGTGAATATAATTGATTTAAGTATTTATTAGCCAGATTTTCCTATTCTTTTTTCAATGTTGTCTGTAATGTTTTTCCTAGTTTTTTGTATTGTTTTATCTGTTATTTTTACATAGTTATTTGAATAATTTGTATTGATATAAGCAATATTTTTTTGGTTTTAATGTTATTTGAATCTATTGTTTTATTTTATTTATTTATCTATCTTTTGACAAGTCGTTCAGTTATTTTATTGACAGACATTATATTCCTGGTTGTTCCATTCTCTTGTCCTCTGTCCCTCAACAATTTCATAAAAACTAATTTTTTCTTGTTATTTTTCTCTATTATAATACTGAACGACTTTTTTTCCTACTGATAACCTAACCTAACCTAACCTAACCTAACTTAATCTTCCATTCTAATTATTTCCTCTATCAAGAGTTTTTCCTTGATTTACTAACATGTCTTTTCCTTCAAAATTAAATTCTTATAACATTTACTTTTATTCTTTGTTTTCCTGATATATCTTGCCCAGGTAATTAAACCAGGTAATTAAACCAGGTAATTAACCCAGGTAATTAACCCAGGTAATTAAACCGGGTATCCTCATAAGGCTTCGTGTCAAGGAACATCAAATCACCTGGCATTATCCACGGTACATTCACTAGGTATTATCCACGATAGTATTTATACATGGTCACTTGTGTTTGATAACAGTATATGAGTAGATATTAAGTGGAAAATACCAGAATATATATAAAGGCGTGGTAAGACCGAGGAGGAAGTGGAGGTGATGATAATAAACAAGAGGCAGTGGAGAGAGTGATAATGAGGAAGTAGTGAAGATAATGATAATGGAGAGGCTATGAAGACAACGGTAATGAGGAGGTAGTGAAGTTGATGATAATGAGGAGGCAGTGAAGAAAACGATAGTAAGGGGGCAGTGAGGATGATGAGAATGAGAAGGTATTAAGCACGATGAAAATGGACAGAAAAATGAATAAACTTATTTTCCTTTATAAAGAATGAAACACTAAACCTCTTGCTTCACGAAACACGAAGCATCACTGACGCACCGAATCTCATACTTCCTAAGTGCGAAGCCAGAAGACGCCTCGCCCGGCCAACATGACCCAAGCTTAAGTGAACTCGTCCCCTTGGGCTAGTTGAAGACATCTCTAGTGTGTTGTGTTCATCTTACACCACCACAGGCTACTAGCATTAGTACAGTTTGTGGTGGTGGTGAATGTGGTGTAGTAGTGGTGATAGTTAGTGGTGGTGGGTGAGGTGGTGGTTAGTGTTGTGGTACGGGTGGTAATGGTGGTGGGTAAGATGGTGATGGTGAGGGTTATGGTGGTGGTGAGTGTTGTGGTGGTCTTGGTGGGGGTTGTGGTGATGGTGAAGAATAATTTTGGTGGTGGGTGAGGGGGAAGGGTATGGCTTGTAGGTTGTAGTGGTTATGATTGAAATGATGGTATGTGGTGGTTAGAGTGGTAGTGTGTAGTGGAGCTTGTGGTAGATGTTGTGGTGGAGGAGGGAAAAGGAGGGGAGTTGGAGAAATTTACAGAAAGGAACGGTGTTATGTCCCCACGAAGGCCCCGCCCCAGATAATGACATCACAACACAAACTCCTCCCCCAGTCTGTCATACAAAAATAAGCTTCACCTCAATGTGTGATATCTCTAAGCTCCTCACCACCCTAGTGATGCCATATCTAAGTCCTCTCCACACATTGGCGTTATGGATAAATCCCTCTTCCACCTAGTGACATCACCCCTGATCTCCTCCTCCATTTGATGACGAGTGCTGGAACCCTTTTCACGCTCTGAGATGTCACCTCTAAGCCCTCCCCACCTTTTGACATCATTCCTAAACTCACATTTTGATATTGATATATTGATATTGAAACAGTTTATTTAGCCTAAAGAACATAAACACAGAGTCGATAAAAATAATAATATTAACTTGGCTGAGTAGATGAGAGCCTGATATAAAGTATACCGTACATTTATCTCAAAAAAGTATTATGTAACATTTAGTAATCATCTGGAATCTGACATATAGCATAGTGGTAATAAGAACATATTAGAATGTTACCAAGGTTATCACTTCGATATTTTTTGTTTTACATTATACTATTAGTATATACTGTATATACTTTACAGTGGAATTGATATACATAAATATGATAAGGAAGGGAAGCAGTACAACATGGGTTGCATTAAGGTGGAACAAGAGGACAGAGCTGTCAGCATCATGTCAAGTTGGCAAATCTATTTATTGCAATGGTAATTTCTATCTACCTACATGACAATTTGTGATAAGACGGTTTTGGTAGTACACTAAAAGCAGGAAAATAAAGTAGGTATTACAAAAACTATTGTGACATCACCATTAAACCTTTCACCTTATGACATCTCTAAGCCTCTCCCCACGTTATGACGTCAACTCCAAGACACTCCCAACCTTGTGACGTCACCACTGAACCCCCTCCCCATCTTGTGACATCACCTCTAAACCCCTTCCCAGCTTGTGACGTCTTCTTGGACGCCCACCCACTTCCTCCCTCCTACAGGACGCCATAAAAACGCCTGAAGCCTCATTTTCATATTAGAAGAGTTTTACTTGCCTTAGTAGATTGGGATCGGATTCCCTGCCGCCATCGCAGCCACCTTTTTTGCCCATGCTGGCGATGAGATAGTCGGGCGATGAGGCGTCTCGGGACGACTTGAAGCTGTCCTCTGCTCCTGAAGTGGCCTCAGGAGGGACTGGGCTAAATAGTATTGTCTGATCTTGTAACCTGGCCGGCCTGAGTGCCTGGCGGGGGAAAAGGGATTAAACGTTTCAGGTGAAACTTTGGCCTATACTTTTGAGATAGAACTTAAAGACAATTAATTTAAACCAAACTAATCGAAATAAATATATATAGTACAAACACACACACACACACATATATATATATATATATATATATATATATATATATATATATATATATATATATATATATATATATATATATATATATATATATATATATGATTCGAACCCAAGATCTAATGATTGTGACCGAGAACATTTACAAAAACCTATTAGAGGTTCATGGCGCATAAAAGCTCGTTGAACAAGCTTTTGGCTGGCAAATACCAACCAGAGTCTAGGAATGCTTTTGGTGTCTGGTGGCCCAGAGAGTAAAGTTCGCATTCACAATCTCATAAGATCGTGGGTTCGAATCTGCTGGTAAACCTATATATATATATATATATATATATATATATATATATATATATATATATATATATATATATATATATATATATATATATATGCTGATAACTACAAGAAAACACGAAGTTCCCAAGCGCTTTCGTATAATTCACATCTTCAGGGGTGAGTACAGACGTCAGAGTTTGTATTCACCCCTGAAGATGTGAATTATCAGCATATACTTGGATCACGCGACGCACCTACAGTGATTTACTTTCATATATATATATATATATATATATATTAGGGTGTGTCATAGGAGGGAAGATCAGCTAAAACTAATGGCCCATCACTTTTTTGGTAGATTTTAGTGTATATAAACAGAAAATAATTTCAGTTTCAATATTTTGCAACCTTTTGCTAGGTAAATTTTAGCGTGAAATTTATCTAAAATCTAACGTACAGCTGCATTAGTGCATTACAATTAAATGGTGAACATTGCTTTCTGACTTCATTCTTTAACAACCCAACTAACAATATTTTTTTCTGTTTCAGATTCTGATGCATTTATAAGTTGATAATATTTGCGATGGCTGCTTGTGTCAGGACGAGGAACCAAAAATCCAGCCATCTCAGTCACTATCTTGGGTCTGGGAGAGAGCTCCTGAAGTCGGAGTTGCCTACATTGAGAGATGCTTTGAGATACGGTGTTTAAATCAGGCAAATCAGTGAAAAGAACCAAAGAACACACAAACAAAGACATTTATGATGATATACTGACCAAAGCTGTCTTAGCACAGTACACTATTGTAACGCTCAGTTCAAGCCTGCAGTCATAACAGTCAAAGATTAGTGGAGACTGCTCTGTAAATTGGGAAAAGAGCAAGAGATATCTCTCTTGGGAGAGGAAAACTTGCAATTAAGGACAGCTTTGCCAAGCAACTGGACCAGTTATTTGACATAATTACTTGCAAGTGCCCAATTGTTCTCTGTCCTGAGTTTGGATGCGATCGTGACTGTAAATCCGAGGCCCACATCTCCTGTATTTGCAAGGGTGAACTGAAGATTCCTGTGATCGAACTGGCATTTGTCAAAGCACAGAGAGAGAAGACTGGCAGATCAGCATCCTGGGACTTGGTCACAATTTTTGGTGATGCCATATGGCAGCAGGGTCTACCATTAGACAACACATTATGCTTCCAATATCTTCCCAGGTGGTAGTACCTCCCTGTTTGGTAGCTGCCTACTACCTACTACCAATCAGCCGTCTCATCTCGTGTGTTTTAATATTCCACGTATTATAATAATTGTATAATAAATTGTATTGTTAATTTTGCACACACAAACATGAATTCAATAAAAACAAATTCAGAAACATTAATCAAAACATATATGAACAGTAAATAAGTGTTGCTTTCATATTCTTATGTAAAGTAATGACGATATGTTTTCATGTGTGCGCATGCGCACTTACATACGCGATCTCTCTTTTTTTCTTTACCATTGTCGTTAGCTACTTCTATTGTTTCATATATTAACATTAAATAACATTACTTAAAACAACCATATTAATTTTACTACAGCTACAACCAAGGTCTTATTTTTTTCAATTTTATATGTAGAACCAGTCAGTCACTGGTTTTGTAATCAACGAAAAAAATGCTGTGTCATTTCCTCGTGTGTTTTAATATTCTACGTATTATATATATATATATATATATATATATATATATATATATATATATATATATATATATATATATATATATATATATATATATATATATATATATATATAAGGAAGGAAGAAACTACAGAAGTTCTAAGTAACAGTGTAATTCACATCTTCAGGGGTGAAATTTTGAACTGGGGTGGGATCAAGAATTACAGGAGGTCAAACAGCCCTCTCACTGAGATCCCGCACCTACAGTGTGCATATATATATATATATATATATATATATATATATATATATATATATATATATATATATATATATATATATATATATGGAAATAAATCACTGTAGGTGCGCATGATCCAGGTATATGCTGATAACCACAAAGAAAAAGAAAACACGAAGTTCCCAAGCGCTTTCGTGTAATTCACATCTTCAAGGGTGAGTACAGGGGTGAGTAGGGTCATTACCTATACTTGACCTCTGTGTACTTGATCTCACCCTCCTCTGTATATATAACTTGTTCTGCACTTCTACTTTAGTTTGTACTCACCCCTGAAGATGTGAATTACACAGAAATAGTCACGTGGTCTAGTCACTTGTGCTGCGCTATTGCAGTATAACAAGTAAGTCTCATTCAATCTCACACAGGATTTAGATAGGGCAGTGATAAAGTTAACTAGAGCTAACAGTGAGTTCATTTCAGGGTTTCGCCAGAACCCACTTGACTGCGAGAGATTGACTGCCGTTTGAGACTGCCGTTGATGATTGAGGGTGGCGATTGTCGCCATTGGACCGATCAGTGTAGGCCTGTCACTGTTTAGCGGGGTATCAAAGGATCTCTTGAGGGAATCTAGCCGTCTGGGTGCCCAGCTGACGACAGGACGATCGTTGGGGTCATCAGCTCTCCTCTACCTCGGCTCACAATACCACATGTTTCAAGCAGATTAGTGAAACCCTCTTGCTAACGGGAAGCTAAAGCTTCTCTCAACTGTACAAGGTCTGATTGGCTCACTCCCTTCCGCTTTATGGATGTACCGGGGGGGTAAAGTGAAGCTAGCTGAGTGATACAGGGTCGCACACTGGGGCCAAGAGTCAGTGGGGTTTAGAGGTACACTTTCCAAGGTGGAGAAAGGCTGATTTGGGCCTTCAACTACGGGTGCCTGTTGGTTGTGCCTAAAACGACTACGGAGTGCAGGTGGAATCTGTGTGTGTGTTAGGTTAGGGAGCATGGTTCACGGGTATTGGACTCAGTAACGTCTTTATAATAGTGACAATATTTTTGTGTGTAGTTAATACTAGTTTTTCAGTTACTAATGTATGCTGTGTGCATTTAAAATTTCTTTATAGTTTCAATCTCAGATATAACCTTTGTTCCCCAGAGTAGTGTTTAAGTTAGGTTAGGAAGTGTGCATCTGTTGGTGTAACATAATTATATTGAGTGCCCTAAAGGCCTATTCATTGTAGAGTATTTAATTTCTTATTTTTTAATACCATTTCCTCAGTGGTGGATATTATTCTGTGAAAACCCTTAAGGCCTGCATCTGTTGGTGTAACATAATTATATAGAGTGCCCTTTAGGCCTATTCATGGTGGAATTAATAATTTCTTATTTTTATACCACTTCCGCAGTGGTGGATATTATTCTGTGAAAACCCTTAAGGCCTGTTTCATGTGTGCAAGCAACATTTCTTACTACTTTAAATTTATTGTTGCCTGAGTTTCTAATAATTTCAATATCATGTATGACTTTTATTTCTCAGAGTAGTGTTTTAAGTTCAAGTTAAGAGGTGCGCATATTGGTGCACCATTATTTGATTGTGTTTGTAGTTGGAGGGAATATAAGTGTCTAAAATTTACAGTGTGTCTCATTCATCCCAGTCACAGACGCTATCCTTCCACAGGTCACGGACAATTCATTTTGTTAGTAAATTTAAGTGCTCTTGTGCTGGTTTGGGATTTCTCACTAAGGGGCGCTTCCACTGCCATTACCATCTAAAAATCTTTAATAAACCCCAAGTCAAGTGAGAAAATAAAGTCCAGTAAATTCCGACCGGTTACATATATATATATATATATATATATATATATATATATATATATATATATATATATATATATATATATATATATATATATATATATATATATATATATATATATATATATATATATATATATATATATATATATATATATATATATATATATATATATATATATATATATATATATAAATCTATAGAAACGTGGATGCAGATAAATCTTGATAAAATCACACGGGAAAATGGAAACAGCAGATTGCATAGCTTTCGTCTTTAATTGCGACATCTTCCAGGAAGCGGCACCAGTTGCACTCTGAGATGTGAGCAAGACAGCAAATTTATATATATATATATATATATATATATATATATATATATATACATTATATATATACATGTATTCTTGTATATATTTATATATATATATATATATATATATATATATATATATATATATATATATATATATATATATACACTAGTAGGAACGCCGCCCTCTGGGTGGCTCATTTGCTAGGCCACGGTAGGACGCCACCCTCCGGGAGGCTCCATATTGTCTCACTATTCAGTCCCCAAAACTTCTTCTACCATCAGTAGTTCATTAACGGTGTATGTAAGTTCCACCATGTTTTTCACTACAACGGTACAGCAAAGTATATTTTTTTTTAGCATTGAACTGTTATTATTTTATTGTCTAATCCTCACTACATATAACATCATCCATCATCACTACATATAACACCATCCATCATCACTACATATAACACCATCCATCATCACTACATATAACACCATCCATCATCACTACAACAGCATCCATCATCACTACATATAACACCATCCATCATCACTACATATAACATCATCCATCATCACTACATATCCACCATCCATCATCTACATAACACCACCCATATAACACCATCCATCATCACTACATATAACACCATCATCACTACATATAACACCATCCATCATCACTACATATAACACCATCCATCATCACTACATATAACACCATCCATCATCACTACATATAACACCATCCATCATCACTACATATAACACCATCCATCATCACTACATATAACACCATCCATCATCACTACATATAACATTATCCATCATCACTACATATAACACCATCCATCATCACTACATATAACACCATCCATCATCACTACATATAACACCACCATCCATCATCACTACATATAACACCATCCATCATCACTACATATAACACCATCCACCATCACTACATATAACATTGTCCATCATCACTACATATAACACCATACATCATCACTACATATAACACCATCCATCATCACTACATATAACATCATCCATCATCACTACATAATATAACACCATCCATCATCACTACATATTAGGGTGGTCCAAAATATCACATATTTGTATACGTTTTCTCCACAAGGTTTATTTTTGTCCATTAGGTACAAAATGCATCCCAGAAAAAAATTGGATCATTTAAAGCATATTTAGAGGTCAATCCAATGTCCTCTTTTTTTCCATTTAGTACGTAATAAGGATTTTTCGGGGCTAGATAAACACATTATAAACACATTGTCTTTATTCAGCAAAATACAATTATAAGTTTTACAAATTACAAACTAAATAACTCTAGAACACCAATACACATTCTTTATTTGTATCCCTTCATCATAGCAGCTTTGCTTGCCGTTGGTAACTTCTTGCGATGAGCTGCAACAACCTGTAAAAGGTACTGCTTTTGGTCCTCATTTTGCGTTATAGACTCATTATAACGCTGTATGAGAGCAATTGCCCTCTCTGCGCTGTCATTCACCACCTTCATATTTATCGCACGATCTCTCATTGTGATAAACACTTCATCGTCTTTCCATGTTTTGGGATCCTTACTCAAGAACAGTTGTGCTCTTTCTTTGCCATCTAGTGTAAGAACATCAAAAATATCTAATGTACGCTCAGTAACAAATGAGGCCACATTACTGATAGGAGTTTCATCAGATAGGACAATACGCCTTGAAAAGTCCTGTTTCTTTGGGCACTGGAAGTTTTGTACCATATTCTTCTTGGTTTCAGTATCGATCCTGTCATCAAATAAGCTTAGACCGATAAGATGTTCTGATAGATACCAGAGATGTCGGCTAATTGCTGCTTGTGCTGCGTGTGCAACTTTCTCATGAGGATATTCCTTTAAAACCTTCATTAGCTGCAAATCATTGAATGGAGCTCGAACAGCCATTGGTGCTTCATGCCAGAATCTCACATACATTATGCTCACAAACAAAGCCAGTTGTGTGATATTGTTTTCTTCCCGTGTTGATAATGTGAATTGATGTTTGAACAGATAGATTTTGAGAGCATAGATTCCTTTTGCCATCCATCTTGCATGGTGTGTAGGACCAGGAACTCGAAAGGAAACCTTACTACTTGGCAGTCCACCAAGAAACAAAAGAGCTAGTTCTAGAAACTCCCTATAATCATCTCGTGGCTGATTATCCTGCAGGGCTACTGGCAAATATTCAAGCAACTCCTTCCTTAGAATTTGAAGCATTGGGTCCTCAAACATGCTTTCTGGTGCTGGAATGAAGTCATTGAGCGAAATGGACCTCCACTGCTTTTTGAAGCGCTTAAACAGAATAGTCTCAAGACTTCCAGTTGACCCACAGATCAAACTGAAGACATCGCTTAGCATAATTTCTAGCACATGGTGTCTGCATGCTATCCAAACAAGTTCCTGTTCCAGTTCATCTTCAATGCGGACACATGCTCCACGATGTAATCCTGTATTGGAAGCAGTAGTATCAAATACAAGTCCTTTAACCAATTTCTCAACATTCCATGATTTAATTGCTTCCAAACATGCTTCGGCCTGTGCTTCTCCAGTTTCTCTCTCTTTTTTGGGTACTCCTAGCAGCTTCTCTTGTCCATTAAATGTCACCACAATGGCAATGCGACTAGCAGTTGTGTTCTGTACGTCAGGAAGGAGTTTTCCGTCCCAATGTAGGAGAAGAGGTTCATCTGGAGAAAATGATTTTCGGTCTGTTTCAGCTGCTTGCTTACGCCCACTTGCTCTGTACCTTCGAATCGTACTCCTAGAAAACGACATGTCTGCAATATCGTGTCCAAGAGCTTGTGCTACAGCCCCAGCTACAAACACAGCATTTCTGTCTGATAAATTGGTACGGTCCATGGCTTCAATGACTACTGGTGACTTGATAATATCAGTTTTTCTAGAACGCTTCAAAGGAGGTGCTCCAGACGAAGATGGAATAGGAGCTGATGGCTGATACTCTTCTTCTGATGATGACGATGAAGAAGAAGGATCGTAGTGGAAAGCTTGTCCTGTTTTATTAAATTCTTCCCTTGCTTCATATCTAGCCTTTGCCATGGACTCTTTTTCCTTTCTCTGTTGCCTCCTGGTTTCAAGTGAAGCTAATTCTTTATCAATACTAGCCATGCTACATGACTGAACACTTTCCCGCTGCATAGTGAGGAATTTCTTGTCCTCCAAATTAACCATTGTCATCATTGCATCTTTCGTGGCAATATCAAATAGCTTCTCAATATCAGCTTGGAACACTTGTTCTTTCATTATGTCACTCTCACGCTGTCTATTCCGGTTAACTTTGAGCATCTGGTACTGATGATATAACTTTGAAAGCTTACGGGCACAAGAATCTACCCGTTGTGTTGGGATATGAGCATGATCCCAAACTTCCTTAACTTTCAGACATGCTTTGTTTAAACTCACGGTAATGGTTTGTGCCTCATTTATGTGAAAATGTTGCACCATTAGTAGGGCATCTTTACTTGTAGGCAGCCTTGACATGGATAAACTTCCTGATGAATTGCCCAGGAGCCAGAACCTCGGATGTGATCTCGTTGTAGCCATTGTACCTGAGTGAGAAAGAGAGAGTTAGCTGATTAATTATCTCGCACAAATGAAAGAAACTTTAAAATACTCATTACCAATACACAAACAAAGAAAATGAAACAAGGCGAATATCATTGGCAGGAAAATCCAATAGCTGCCATCTGTGAACATGATCATCCACTCAAGTGTACTGATACTCTACATATGAAATTTATATAGAAAATTTGTAGCAACAAACAAAAGGATATGGATATGTTTTTCTTACACTTATGAGAGTAAAATAAGTGTTTCTTGAATTTAAAACTATGGAATGTTTACTATGGAATGCTTCATTTACAGCACAAATGATTCAGTTGTAACCCATAGCAACCAAACAAACATTTGTAAACAAATATACAAGATCAATAACAAGAAAATGATATTGATAAAAAAAGAAAATACCCTATATTCAATAGTACATAGTGTTGGTGACAATCTACTAACTCATTATTTACAAATATATATACCATAAATGAAAACAAAAAGAACCAATAACACAATGTTAGACTTTGCAAATACACACCTTCTCCTGCAGAGGTTGTAACTCAACTGAGGAGCTGCCAAAGTGGCTCAGACCTGAGCACTCACTGGAACCAGATCAGTGTTGCCAACATCCTTACAAAATCTGTAACTAAGTCTAATTATTTCTCACAGGTAATAATTGCCTGCCATTCATATGCCATGACACAAGATGGAAACCTGCATAATATACTATTTAGATTGATAATGAAATAATTGTAGAACTGATGAGATATAAATGAAATAAGTAACTTCATCTGATTAATGGTAACCCTTGTCTGTGTTTCCTGTTTCAACCTGTCATTGTCAGTCCCTATGACTCAATACTTGACTCTTTGCCCTTTCCAAATAGGCAACTAGGCTATATACATTGAAATATACCCAATATAATGTGTTGTGTATATTAAGACTGTATCATGCGGACAAGAAAATTCAGTCCTACACTACAAGTATAATATGCAAAATGGATTGACCTCTAAATGTTAATGAATATGGATAAAATTTTACAGACCTTATCTATGAACCAAATGGACAATTTTAAGGCTTGTGGAGGCAATATATTACTACTTATATTTTTAACCATATAGTTTTGGACCACCCTAATATATATATATATAATCAACGACCTCACCAGCAAGGAATCGAACCCTCGACCTACTGGGTGTGACTAGGGAACGCTTACCGGCTAGGCCACAAGGACACTAAAAGCAGTTCTAGACTCTGTTATATTTCACACAAAGCCTGTTCATCGAGCTGATGGCGCCGTGAACCTCAATGGGAAACTGCCCGTGCCTCTTATGTGGTGTCAGTAGCATTTTACCGAATCCAGCTTGTATGAAACGCGAGGTACATATATATACTTCATTTTTAGTCCATATAACACGCGAACTTTGAACATATAATCAACGACCTCACCAGCAAGGAATCGAACCCTCGACCTACTGGGTGTGACTAGGGAACGCTTACCGGCTAGGCCACAAGGACACTAAAAGCAGTTCTAGACTCTGTTATATTTCACACAAAGCCTGTTCATCGAGCTGATGGCGCCGTGAACCTCATTGGGAAACTGCCCGTGCCTCTTATGTGGTGTCAGTAGCATTTTACCGAATCCAGCTGGTATGAAACGCGAGGTACATATATATACTTCATTTATATGTTCATATCACGGGTGTTATATGGACTAAAAATGAAGTATATATATGTACCTCGCGTTTCATACCAGCTGGATTCGGTAAAATGCTACTGACACCACATAAGAGGCACGGGCAGTTTCCCATTGAGGTTCACGGCGCCATCAGCTCGATGAACAGGCTTTGTGTGAAATATAACAGAGTCTAGAATTGCTTTTAGTGTCCTTGTGGCCTAGCCGGTAAGCGTTCCCTAGTCACACCCAGTAGGTCGAGGGTTCGATTCCTTGCTGGTGAGGTCGTTGATTATATGTTCAAAGTCCGCGTGTTATATGGACTAAAAATGAAGTATATATATATATATATATATATAGCCTCCCTTTTTCGCAAAACAAGTTTATAAATTTAAGAAAATATTTGCAGTGTGTTTAATATATTACAGTATATTATAAATAAATAAATAAATAATCAAATAAATGGTAAATCTATTTCAAGTAAATGGAAAAATTTTACTCACACCGACGTTAGTTCCAGTTAAATAACAGACGCTTAAGTGAGTCACTAGTGTATACAGTAGCTACTGTACACCGGCCTGTAAAATTTGATGCCAATACTTGAAGGGAATTGGCCTTATTTTTAATAACCAACCATAAATAAATGCAAAAATGAAAAAAGATCAAAGGTGAGAAACAATATACTGTATGTATGTTGTGTTGTCAAAGTAAGAGAAACAATTGAAACTCTGCAAGTGTGTGTAAATGAGGCAGAAAGATAGATCAGCAACTTAAGATTTGGTCAGAATTTTCGTGATGCCATATGAAAGTAGGGTCTACCATTAGACAATACTGTACATTATGCTTCCAATATCTTCCCAGGCGAAAATATCTCCCTGTTTGGTAGCTGCCTACTACCTAAACAACTTTTAGTAGTATCACTTTGATACTACATGATAAATTAGACAAACAATGAAAATAAACAAACAAAAGTTATTTACCAAGACCTTCTCTCTGACAGAAGGTAAGAGATGGAGGGGAGATAAGAAGGCTATTTATAGCCGTCTTTGTGTCTGAAGCACTATAAATAATTCATTTAAAATTTATTTTTTACATAGAATATTCAGTACATGACTGTGATTATAAAATATTGTGAAATTAGTATATTATATATATATATATATATATATATATATATATATATATATATATATATATATATATATATATATATATATATATATATATATATATATGTATGTATATATATATATATATATATATATATATATATATGTATATACTGATTACCACAAGGAAAAAGAAAACACGAAGTTCAAGTTTCGTGTAATTCACATCTTCAGGGTGAGTACAAACTAAGGAGAAATACATAACAAGGCATATATATTCAGTAGAGGAGGGTGAGATCAAGTCCCTAGGGACAGTGAGTGTCCACAATGGTCCGGTCACGAGGCAGTGACCTTTAATCTTCATAAGTAGTCAGGTCAGAGGGTAAGATGACCCAACCTACTCACATGGTTACAAATCTTCTTAATTACGAAATTATACAGTTTGTACATACCATTACTCAAATTCATGTTGACGGGTTCGGTATGTTTAATGAGACTGTGTTCTATAATGTTCCTACTGTCAATTAAATTATAAGGTAATATTGAGGAGGCATTATCCCAGTCAATGCAATGCTTATTATCCCTCAAATGAACAAACAGAGCATTGGATTCCTGGCCTGTCCTAACACTATATTTATGTTGTTTAAGTCTAGTTACAAGATCTTTACCTGTCTGGCCTAAGTAAAACATATTACATTCCTTGCAAGGAACTGTATAAATGCAACCAATTGTATGAATTACACGAAAGGCTTGGGAACTTCGTGTTTTTTCCTGTGGTTATCAGCATATACCTGGATCACGCACCGACAGTGATTTACTTGCATATATATATACATACATATATATATATATATATATATATATATATATATATATATATTATTTTTTTATATATATATATATATATATATATATATATATATATATATATATATATATATATATATATATATATATATATATATATATATATATATGCTGATAACCACAAGGTAAAAAGAATACACGAAGTTCCCAAGCGCTTTCGTGTAATTCGCATCTTCAGGGGTGAATACAGACTAAGGAGAAATACATAACAAGGCAAATATATATACAGTAGAGAAGGGTGACATCAACATCACCTGAGACGTGAGCGTTCTGATCTTCAAGCTAAGATAGACCACAAATTGGCACTCCTTATTAGAAATAGTGATTGGACTAAGGATGCCAATCACAACTGTGTAGTGAATCTCTCCTCTAAACAACTAGACAATGATACCTAGTGTGCCCTCGGTGTGCCAGAGCATTTTGCACTTTGGAGAAATTCAGTAATTTGACAAGTGAAGAAGTGAACATGTGTAAAGGTATTGTGTATGCATCTATGTCTAAGCCTTGTGTTCTAAACTGTCCAGAAAGATTCACCAAAGGAATCCAAGCCCTTAAGAAAAATAAGGATCTACATGTCACTAAAGCAGATAAAGCCAACACAGTAGTGATTTTAAACAAAGATGATTATATTTCTAAAATGAATGACCTTTTATGTGATGCTGCAACATATTCTAAGCTCATAAATAATCCTTTCAACACAGTTAACACCCAGTTCAACAAAAAACTTAAGTCTCTATTGAGAGGCAAAGCTACTCTCATTAAACATTTTACTGCAACGTCCTCTCCACTGCCATACATGTACGGTTTAACCAAGACGCGCAAGCCGAGTAACCCAGCAAGACCCATCATTAGCTCAGTTGGGTCAAGCTCTTATAAATTATCTAAATGGTTAGTTTATTTACTAAATCCCCTAGTTGGCAACATTTCTAACTCTAATATTAAGAATAATATGGATCTGGTTGATAAACTCAATAAGTTACACATTAATTATGATTTTAAACTGGTAAGTTTTGATATAACATCACTCTTTACAAAGGTTCCAGTTGATGATTTACTGGAGTTCCTCATAGATTCCCTGGACAATATTTCATGGCAATGGGCAATCCGCTTTCACCAGTATTAAGCAACTTATATATAGAATTCTTTGAAAAGAAACTATTAAGTAATATTTTACCACCTTCAGCAGTCTGGTTTAGATATGTAGATGATGTATTATGTCTCTGGCCATGTAATGAGAACCTAAAAGCTTTTCTGCCGCAACTTAAGAACTTAACCCCCTCGATCAAATTCACTGTGGAATTAGAGCATGACCGCGCCACAAGGACACAGGGTGTCCTTGTGGTGCGGTTGGTAGCATTTCCTGGTCACAAGCATAAGAACATAAGAACAGAATGGAGGAAACTGCAGCGGGCCTATTGGCCCATACTGGGCAGTCACATTTACACCCAACCCCTATTGCTCATATATCCATCCAACATAAGTTTGAAGCTATCCAGCGTATTCGAGTTAATGATGATATTTGGTAACTTGTTCCAGTCGTCCACTGCTCTATTTCCTAACAAATGTTTACCTATTTCGCGCCTAAATCTAAATTTGTCTAATTTAAAACCATTGTTACAAGTTCGCTCCTGGTTGGAAAGTTTGAGTACCTTTGTAATGTCCCCTTTGTTTAGCTCTGATTTCCATTTATACACCTCAATCATGTCGCCCCTCACTCTACGTCTCTCGAGGGAGTGCAAATTAAGATGCTTTAACCTGTCTCTATATTCAAGGTTCCTAATGCCCGGGATTAGTCTTGTCATTCTCCTCTGAATTCTTTCCAAGGATTCTATATCCATTCTGTAATACGGTGACCAGAATTGAACTGCGTAATCCAAGTGAGGTCTCACAAGTGCAAGATATAGTTTTAAGATGACCTCGCTAGTCTTGTAACTAACACTCCT